AATCAGGCGCCTTAGGTAGGTAAGGTAAAACAGTAACACATTTTTACATAGTTAAACAAATGCAATACATCTTTACATAGTTAAACAAATATTCTGCAACATAAACAATGCAACACTTCTTTACACAGTAAGGGAAATGCAACGCATCTTCACATGGTTAAACAAATATTCCGCAGTGCCCCATAGTCTATCACAGTCTCAACAACGTTTTAAAATCCAAAGTTCAAAGTCTCTTCTGTGATTCATGCACTCTTTTAACTGTAATCTCCTATAAAATCAAAGTCAAAAAACTGACCACATATTTTCAATATATAATGGCACAGGATATACATTACTATTTCAAAACAGGGAAGGGAGCATAGTGAGGAAATATTGGACCAAAGCAATACCAAAAACCAGTTGGCAAACTACAAACTCTGCATCTCTATTTCTGATGTCAAAACACTTTTCAGATCTCCAACTCCTTTCAGCTTTGCTAACTGCAACATACGTCTTTTTCTTGGACTAGTTCCACTCCCTGTTAGCAGCTCTCCTCAGCAGGTATCCCAGGGCTCTGGCATCTCCAAAATCATGGGTTCTCAAGGCAATCCATATTTCACCTTCACAACTTCACACCTGTCCTTTCTAGGCCTCCATTCAGGGTGGCATGCAGGCAGACAAGGTACTAGAGCTGAGAGTCCTACATCTTGATACGCAGGCAACAGGAAGTGGTCTGTCTCACTGGGCATAGCTTGAGCATAGGAGACCTCAAAGCCCATCTCCACAGTAACACACTTCCTCCAACAAGGCCACACCAACTTCTACAAATCCTCCTAATAGCGCCACTCCCTTTGGGGACCATTTTCTTTCAAACCACCACAGGCTTCCTCCAAGTTGCTGCACAGGAGAGACAGTAGACACCTACAGCAAGAGGACATAGCCCATGAGTGATATTCCAAGTACTGCTGCATACAGCCTCGGGCCCTGGAGAGGAGTTCCTGCTTTGTGGTGAACCGGAATTAGACAATCCAGGATTAGGAACTGAGTAGCCACAGCTCTCCAAGCAGTGGCCCCACCTGAGAACCTTGGGTAGGATGGGCTGTGCCTTAGTTAGGGGTTTTATGGCTGTGAAGAGATACCTAGAACATAGCAACTCTTATAAAGGAAAACATGCCATCGGAGTGGCTCGCTTACAGTTACAGAGGTTCAGTCATTATCATCATGGTGGGGAGCTGGCAGCGTGCAGGCAGCTGTGGTGCCAGAGTAACTGC